CCCAAGAAGTCCCTTTCGGCGAAGCCGGGGCACACAGCGGCCAGGGGGCCCCCACGGGCAGCGCAGCACATGCAGCCTCGAGGAGGGGGGCCCCCAGGAAGGACCCGGGGGCCCCCGACTCTGCATCTGAGGCGGATGCAGGGGCCCCTCGCTCCTCTAGGAGGCTCCCTGTGGGCTCTGTTGCTGCAGCTGCTGCTGCAGCAGCTGCAGCAGCAGCTGCAGCCGTCCCCCTGGGGCCCCGTGGGGGATCCCAAGAGGGGGCCCCCTCTTCTCCGAGTAATGGGGGGCCCCTCAGCTCAAGTCTGAGCTGGACCGAGAGTGATGAAGATGGCATGCCAGTCTTTCTTTCGGGGGAGGGCAGCACACTGCTGGGCAAGCAGTATGGGGGGCCCCAGTGGGGCCTCGACGAGCAGGAGGCTGTGGGGCCCCCTGGGGGCCCCTCCTCACAGGGGGAGGGGCGGCTACGAGGGGCGGCCTTGCTGTGCCCCGCTGGGTCCGATCCTGCTGCTGCTGCTGCTGCAGGTCATGCAGCCGCAACTGCTGCTGCTGCTGCTGCGCCTGCAGCAGCTGCTGCAGCTGTCTCTGGGGGCGCAGCGGACAGCGCTCGCGGGCGGCTGCCGCTTCTGTCGGGGGGCCCCGTGGAGGCCCCTGAGGCCCTGCAGGGGCCCCCTGCTGGCTGCGCTGCAGAGGGGCCCCCATCACCCGAAGCAGCGGCTGCTGCGGGGGCCCCCCCCAAGGGCAACACGCAGCTGCCCTTCACTGGGGATCGATCGATCCCAGCTTCTCCCCACGGTTGTGGGGCCCTCGCCCCACAGTTCTCTCCCGTGGCCTACCAGGTGTCCCCGCAAGGGCCTCAGGGGGCCCCCAAGGGGCCCCCCTTGAAGGTGGCGGACCTCCCGCTGTCGCCGGGGCCCCAGGGGAGGCCCTACAGGCCAGCCAACAGCAAGCTGCGGGGGCAGCAGGCCACTGCTGTGGAGCAGCTGCGGCCGGAGGAGCAGCTGCAGCAGCAGAAGCAGCAGCAGCAACAGCAGCAGATTATAGAGCAGAAGGACCAGCAGCAGCAGCAGCAACAGCAGCAGCAGCAGCAGAGGCAAGAATGGGCCGCCTGCAGGAACAGCACAGCGCTTGAGCTAACTGAAGCTACTGATGCTCGCTGGCTGTCGTTTGCAGCCGCAGAACTGCCTTCCGCAGCAGCAGCAAAAACAGCTACAGGAACGGCAGCGACAACAGCAGCAACAACAGCAGCAACAACAACAGCAGCAGCAGCAGCAGGAAAGCCCGAGACAGCGACAGCCGTACAGGTCGCAGCCATGCTCCCGCCTGAGTCATTTGCCACAAGGGTTAGGAGAGCTGCGCTTCAGCAGCAGCAGCAGCAGGAGCTGCAGCAGCAGCGAATGCTACAGCATCACCAAGGGCCGCTTCAGCAGCAGCAGCACCACCACGAATCGCAACAACAGCAACTCAGACAGCAGCAGCAGCAGGAACAACAGCTGGTACTGCAGCAGCTGCAACATCAAGAAGGGCAAATATATGCCCAGCATATGCATCAGACAACCGCCTTGTATTCTTCCATTCCACAAGACCAGCAGCAGCAGCAGCACCAGCAGCAGCAGCTTCTCTTTTTTCAGCAGCAGCAGCAGCAGCAGCGGCTGCAGCAGCCGCTGCAAGCTTTTGCATCCCCCCACCCCGAAATCGCACCCCAGTTATCGCAGCAGCTGCTGCCGCAGCAGCAACTGCAGCAGCAGCAGCAGCAAGAGTGGTTCGTGTGGCTCCAGTCAACAGCCTCCGTCCACCAGCAGCTGCTGCTGAGGGGGCCCCCAGCCCCAGCCCTCCAGGAGCAGCAAGAGGGGCAGCTCTTTCTGCCTCCTTTGCCCCCCGCCAGGTCTCGGGCGAAGCAGCGCCCCTGCTCTTTAGGCGCGTGGATGGGCCCGGGCTGCTAACAGCTAGCTCAGCAGCTAGCTAGCTAACTAGCTAGATGGCTAGCTGGTTACCTAGCTAGTTAGCTAGCTGGCTAGCTGGCTAGCTAGCCAGCTTACTAACTAGTTGGCTGGCTGGCTAGCTAGCTATCTGGCTGGTTAGCTAGCTAGCTAGCTAGCTAGCTCGCTAGCTGCGCGGCCGCGCATGGCTCGGCTCTACGGCGCCTTAGCTGCTCGGCTTGCAAAACCCATTTGCCATTATATATTCCACCCTCAGCGACAGCCGCGCAAATTAGCTAGCTAGCTAGCTAGCTAGCTAGCTGACGAGCTAGGTACCTGAGTAGCGATGCATTCAATTAAGTCTTGCCGCTCTTTTAAGTCTCTACCTGCGGTTACCTAGGTAGCATATCAATCAGATAGCTAGCTGGCGAGCTAGCTAGCTAGCTAGCTAGGGTGGTGTATTTATTGTTAGAGCCATTTAGCCTGTTAGGTTGGCGGCAACACCCACACCCGCCTCAACAGAGGCCTAGCAGAGCGGTCTATCCGTATGTAGCCTCCCGCTGCAGCAGCAGCAGCAGCTGCTGCTGCTGCTGCTGCTAGTGCTGGGTGTTTCCCCGGTGTCTCCTGTTGCCCTTGCCTATCTCTCTTTAGCCTCTGTTGCTGCATTTGGCTCTCTGTGGAGCCAAGGGCGTCCGCACTTCGCTGTGGCGCTGCAGCTTGAAGGCCAGCCGCTGCGCATGCAGTTGCATGCAGCCCCAGAGCAGCTTGAGTGCATGGTGCATGCAGCCTCCCCGCAGCTTGCATGCATGCGCATGCATGCTGCATGCATTCTGCACGTTGCATGCAACGCGCATGCAGCCCCAGGGCAGTTTTGGCGCCCTACAGCTGCAGCATGCACGGGGCTTTCGTGCAGTCCTGCTGCGGCATGCATGCATGCTGCATGCAGGACTGCTGCAGAACGCATGCAGTCCCACTGAGCACAGGGGCCTAAGCCACACAAAGACACAAGAAAGGCCACAGCTCCACACGGAGCTGCCTCTGCAGCTGCTTCGCATTTGCACTAATCTCTAAACTTTCCTTATTGAGGCTTTCCAGTTGCTCCATCCCAGTGCCCTCTCTTTGCTCTGGGCCTCCTCATTCCACGGCTGTGCAGCAGCAGCAGCAGCAGTAGCAGCAGTAGCAGCAGCTGCAGCAGTTTCTGCTGCTGCAGCTGCTGCTGCGAGGCTCACAGCTGCACAGTGGAGGCCCGGCGCTGCACCCCGCACGACAATAGAGAGCTTGGCCGTTGTATCTGTGCCTCTGCTCGGCTGATCTACCTTCAGCAGCAGCAGCAGCAGCAGCAGCAGCAGAGGTTTGCTGCAGCTCAGCACCTCCCCCTGGGGCCTTAAACTATACTCCCCTGTCTAATTAACTTTGCCCTACGCTACTTCCTCTTCGGGTCTGCTGCGCCCGCTTCTGCTGCTGCCTCTGTTGCTGCCTGACGTGGGGAGTCTGGCAGCAGCAGCTAGAGTGCTGCTGCTGCACTCTTTGCCGCTGGCGCTGTAGAGAAAGGCTTGTGGCTAACCGTAGCTGCCCGTGGCTAGCTGTAGCTAGCTATGGCTAACTGTAGCTAGGCCTAGCCATCTGAAGCCAGCTGTAGCTAACTGTGGCTATCTGCAGCTAGCTGCAGCCAGTTGTAGCTAGCTGTGGCTAGCTGCTGCCCATGCCCTCCCACTTCGCTACTGAAGCAAAAACTGAAGCGCCTCCCTCTACGGGAAGCCGTTTTGTCTCGGCGAGGCGCCCTTAAAGTAAATGGGCCCCTGCCGCTGCTGCTGCTGTCTCTCTGCCACTGGCTTTCCCTGCATGCAGGCGGCCTTCCGCAGCAGCAGCTGTTGCAGCTGCTGCTGCAGCAGCTGCAGCGTGAACTGCAGCAGCAGCTGCTGCTGCAGACGCCTTACGCTGCCGCCCCGCCCCTTCAGGGCTGCCCACGAGCTAGCCCACGCGAGGGGAAAAGCAAAAGAATAAATATAATAACGCCGAGGGTCATATACAAAAACAAAGAAGGCCAGAGGCAAAAAGCAGGAAAGACAAACAAGGAAAAGAGCCCCTGTCACCCGCCTCTGCGCTAATGCCAAGCGCCTTCAAAGCGGGAATTCCCAGCTTCCACTTTAACACAGACACAAACCCCCAAAACAGCAGCTACTTGGCTAGCTAGCTGCGCAGCTTGCTAGCCACGCCGCTGCCTCGCCAGCTAGCCGCGCAGCTAGCTAGCCACGCAGCCAGCTAGCCGCGCAGCCAGCTAGCCGCGCAGCTAGCTGGCTGCGCAGCTAGCTAGCCATGCAGCTACCTTGCCGGCTTGCCACGCAGCTACCAAGCCAGCTAGCTACGCAGCTAACTAGCCATGACGCTGGCTCGCCAGCTAGCTAGCCACGCAGCTACCTGGTTAGCTAGCCAACTGGGGATGCTCTAATGCTTCAAAGCGGCAAACTCCTCTCTGAAACCCACATGCGCGCGCGTCGGAAGCACCATTAACGCCGATGCAGTGCAATTGCTGCTGCTGCTCTTATTGCTGCTGCTGCAGCGCCGCCTGCTGCGCACCAACCTGCTGCTGCATGCGTCCCGCGAAAATAGACTGTTGACTTGTACTACAATTGCCGTCTACCGGATCCCCTCTTATACTGCCTGTTTTCTGCGGCAGTTGCTGCAGCAGCTGCTGCTGCAGCAACTGCTGGTGTTACTTCTTTTGCTGCTCATTTCTTCTTCGCCCGTAGCGAAATCCGCTGCCAGTGCTGCTGCGTATCGACCTGCATATAGCGGCCTCTTGAACAAGTCCCGCTGCTTCTGTTGTTTCTTAATACCTCCCTCAAGTGAGCTCTGCTGCATGCATTCCTAGCATCGCTGCTGCTGCAGTTGCTGCTGCGGCTCTTGCCGCTGCAGCAAATGCTTCTTTTGCTGCTGCAGCAACAGGTGCTGCTGTTGCTGCAGCTGTTAACTCGTCTTGTCCTCTTGAGCTTGCCACTGTTGCTGCTCACATCTTGCGTGCACCATCCTACTGTGCTGGTCTCACATATGCGGCTATTTTTGCTGCTGCTGCTGCTGCTGCTGCTATTCTTGTGAGGCTGCCACAGTTGTGTCCTGCTGCTGCTGCTCCAGCTTCTCTTCCTGCTCCAGCTTCTCCTCCTCCTCTTGCTCCACTTCCTGTTCGTAATCTGCTTCCTGCTGCTCTTGGTGCTCCTGCTCTTCTGCCTGCTCGTGCATTTGCTCCTGCTGCTCCTGCTGCTCGTGCTGCTCCTGCTGCTCGTGCTGCTCGTGCTGCTCCTGCTGCACATCCTGCTCTCGCTGCTCGTGCGGCTCCCGCAGCTCCTGCAGCTCGTGAGGCTCCTGCTGTTCCTGCTGCTCGCGCAGCTCTTGCTGCTCGTGCTGCTCTTGCTGCTGGTGCTGCTCGTGCTGCTCTTGCTGCTCTTGCTGCACAGGCTCTTCACGGCTTTCCTGCTGCTGCTCCTGTTTGTCCCGTTGGCCGTGCTGCTCCCGTTCGTCCTGTTGCTCCGGCTGGTCGTGCTGCTCGTGGTTGTCGTGCTGCTGCTGCTGCTGCTGCTGGTCCCGCTGCTGCTCTTCCTGTTCGCGCTGCAGTTCCCTGAGGACTCGGACTTGTTCTTCTTCGAGTTCTGCGTGTTGCTGGGGTTTGGGTTTTTGCACTTTGGAGCGTCTCAAGCTTCTGCGTTTCTTCTGCAGCTCCTGCTCGCGCTGCTGCTGCGGGTCCCCCTGCTGCTGCTGCTGCTGCTGCTGCTGCTGCTGCTGCTGCTGGGCGAGGCGGGACCTGGCGGCGGAGTAGCGCTCCATGACCTGCCTGGCGAGCGGGCAGGGGGGGGGCCCCTGGCCGGCCTCGACGAGGGCCCAGTCGACGCCGTGGAAGTACTCGTCGTTGAGGACTTGTTGGAGAGAAGCTCTTTTGGAAATGTCGGGATTGACCATTTTGAGGACAAGACGGACGAGCGCGGCCTCGCGCGGGACTTGCTGGTACTTGCGGACGCGCACGAGCATGCGGGCGAAGGCCATGCCCAGCGCGTAGACGTCGGACTTAGCCGAAAAAGGCACAAAAGAAGAAAAACGGCGAAGTTCGGGGGCCGTGAAGCCCCGCGTGTGCGTGGCCTCCTCCTGCGGGCAGGGCTGGCCCAGCGGCCACAGCATCTCGAAGTCCGCGAGGCGAATGTGGCCATCAAGTCCTACAAAGAAGTTCGGAGGCTTCAAGTCTCTGTGGAGAAAGCCGCTGCGGTGCAGCAGCGCAACAGCAGCGGCCATTTCTGCTGCGGCCCACAGCACTTCGACGCTGCGCGGCGCGTCGCGGTAGTACTGCGAAAAGTCGCAGCAGGCGCGCGGCAGCACCAGGTAGACGTTTGCGCTGCGCCGCGAGCGGAAGGCCCGCAGCAGCTGCAGCAGCAGCAGCTGCTGCTGCGGCACGTGCTGCTGCATCGCGTACACTTCCCACGCAGTCTGTTCCTTCCCGAACTCCGGCCGGTAACTCCGCCCTTTTATTGCAACTCCTTCTTTTCTTTCTTCCGAACTCAACTCCAAAAACTCCGACAACTCCTCCGAAGGATGCTCCACTATCGTCACGAACGTCCGCCGCCGGCCCCGCCGGCCCTCCCCGCTCGGGGGCCCCCCGGGGCCCCCGAGGGGGCCCCCGGGGGGGCCCCCGGGGGGGCCCCCGGGGGGGCCCCCGGGGGGCCCCAGGGGGGGCACTGCTACGCCAGAGGGGGCCCCTGATAAACCCTCCAGCCCATCCGCCACTGCCTGGAACTCCGGCCAGTCGCGCTCGTCCACTGTCGGCAACTTCCACAAGTACCAAGTCCAAGACCAAGGCTTGTCTGCAGCAGCAGCAGCAGCAGCAGCAGCAGCAGCAGCAGCAGCGTGAGCGGGGGCAGCAGCAGCAGGGAATCGCGCGACAAAGAAGCGGACCATCTAGGCTTATGAGGGGACACGGCGTAGCTAACCCCCAGCTAGCTAGCCACATGGCTAGCTAGCTAGGGAGGTGGCTAGCTAGCTGCGGAGCCGGCTAAACTGCTTGATACCTAGCTAGCTGCACAGCTAGCTGCACAGCTAGCTGCACAGCTAGCTAAGCTGCTGCACACCTAGCTAGCTAAACAGCTAGCTAAACAGCTAGCTAAGCTGCTCACACCTCGCTAGCTAGCCAGCTAGCTAAGCAGCTACACACCTAGCTAGCTACGCAGCCATCTACGCAGAGCACACACAGGCCCAGCAACTGCCCGGCTAGCTAGCTAGCCAACTAGCCAGCTGGCTAACCAGCTAGCTAGCTAGCTAGCTAGCTAGCTAGCTAGCTAGCTAGCTAGCTAGCTAGCTAGCTGCTATGAAGGGAACTTACACTTGAAGTTGTTGGACATGGTCTTAAAGGCCCTTTGAATGGAACCCGCGTGCTCGTGCAGAAGAGCCCCACCAGCTAACATCACCAGCCCGGCGCCCGCAGCAGCCCTGCAGCAGCAGCAGCAGCAGCAGCAGCAGCAGCAGCAGCAGCAACAGCAGCAGCAGCACCAGAAGAAGAAGCGAAGCAAGTTAACGGCTGCAGAGGTGTCAACACACTGTACAACAGGGGCTCAGGCCCTAGCTAGGGTTTAGGGTTTGGGCGCAACGGTTTACAGGCTAGAAGAGATAAACCCTGATTTAGGGTTTAGTGAGGGTTTAGACGCACATTAGGCGCCGCGGCCGCTGCCCTGCAGCAGAAGAAGCACTTAAGAACTGCTGCCCTGAGACTTCCTCCATGAGCTGCTGCAGCGAAGCCTCTGCTGCTGCAGCATCTGCTTCTGCTGCAGCATCAGCATCTGCTTCTGCTGCATCTGCTTCTGCTGCAGCATCAGCTGCTGCCTGATCTGCTTCTGCGGAAGCAAGTGCTGCTGCTGCAGCGGCTTCTCCTGCAGCAGAAGACGCTGCGGCGGCTTCTAGCAGTGCTTTCAGTGGATATGCAGCTGCTGCTGGAGCTGCTGCTGCTGCTGCTGCTGCTGGAGAAGCAGCAGCAGCAGCTGCTGCTTCTTCGTTTTCATCTGCTGCTAAGACGGGAGCAGCAAAAGAGATGTGCAGGAAGACAAGCAGCAGCGCCGCAACAGCAGCGCCTTCAAACAACTTCCTCATTTTCGGGAAGCCTCAATCTGCTGCTGCTGCTGCTGCTGCTGCTGCTGCTGTTGCTGCTGTTGCCCTGCAGCAGGCGGTGCTGCTTTCGGGGCTCGTGCTGCTGCTGCAGCGGAAGTCTGCGTTGCTGCCGTTGCTGCTGCTGGCTGCTGCGTGCTGCTGCGCGGAGACTGCCGCTGCGGTGTATGTACACCTGGAAGCAGCAGCAAAGCAAAACCCAAAATCTGCTTCTGGCAAAGCGCCGCCAGAGCGGCTAGCGCAGAGGCCGCATGAAGGGCCTTTGTTGCTGCTGCTGAAGCGGGTTAAAAAGCGAGAAGCAGCGAGCTGCTGCTGCTGCTGCTGCTGCTGCTGCTGCTGCTGCTGCTGCTGCAGACGACAGCCTCCGCGACAAATCGACACGCGGGGGGCAAGAGCTTCCCCGGGGCTCCGCAGCAGCAGCAAAGCCCCGAGCTGTTTGAAACAGAATTAAAACAATGTTTGGCAGCAGCTCGGGCGTGCTTCCGCGTTGCTGCTGCTGCTTCCAGCTGCTGCTGCTCCTCTCGCGCTGCTGCTGCTGCTGCAGCTGGGCGCGCGCAAAGCCCCCAAAGACTCAACCGCGGCCAAAGACTCAGCAACAAAATCAATTAAGTTTGAGAAATGCAAAAAGCAACAAATTAAATAAAGTTCAAAAAGAATCGGAAGGTCTTTTGCCTTCGCTCCGCCGCTGCGGGAGCGGGAGCCCCGCCGAGCCAGCGGCAGCCCCGCGCGCGCCGCCGCCGCTGAAATTCTTCTTTTTTCTTTTTTTTTAACTTTTAATTTATTTAATTTTATAAATTAATTCCATTTTATTCTTCAACACCCAAAATTCCAGACCCCCAGCCCCGCCCCCGCGGGCTGCAGCGCCATGCTCCTCTCCAGGGCTCTCCGGGGCCGGGTCCCCGTGCCTCAGTTCAGTAGGGACCGCTTCTTCCGGCGGGTGAGTTTTCGCTGGCAAGGGGGGCCCCCGGGGGGCCCCCGGGGGGCCCCCCGGGGGCCCCGGGGGCCCCCGGGGGGCCTGGGGGGTGCCCTAGGGGCCCCTGGGGGCCCCCCGGGGCCCTGGGGGGCCCCGCGCGCCTGCAGCGCCACAAACACACTGCAGCAGCAAAAGCCGCCGTGGAGGCAGGCCGTTAGAAGCAGCAGCAGCAGCAGCAGCAGGAAGTGCGCAGGAAGCAGCTGGGAAGTGTATATACACTGCAGAGGCGGTGGGGCTGCGGTGTACGTACACTGCAGGGGCAGCGACTGCGCCGCTGCGCCCCACGGGGTGTACAGACAGCTCCTGCGAGTGTGTGCTGCTGCAGCCCAACATGCTGGAGGCCGACAGAGCTCGTCTTTACTATTTTAATCTCTTTAGCATTGCAGCAACTGCAGTGCCCATTTGGTACATGATGACTGTAAGCCGTGCGGGGGTTTAGGGTTTAGGGTTTAGGGTTTGGCGGTTTCGACGCGCCCGGGCAGGCTCTGGACCCCTCCCGGAGGCTTAGTTGGCCCTTGCGCCACGTAACAAAGGGCTTAGGGTTTAGGGTTTAGGGTTTAGGGTTTAGGGTTTGCGCTGCAGGTGAACTACCGCTTCTGCGAAGAGTCGGTGATGCTGTCGGACTCGCTGGGGAGTTCTGGAGTTACGCCGACGGACTTGGGTCTCTTTTACCCCCACAAGTTGCAGAAATAAAGACAATTATTATTTATTATTAGTTCAATTAATTAAAACAAAAGAGAAAAGCAAAGAAATGAAAAGAATTCGTGAGTCCCCCGTGCGGGCGGCGCTCCGCGGCGTCTTCAGGTGTACGTACACCTCCGGGGCGTTTTCAGGTGTACGTACACCTCAGGCCCCAGCGGCCAGGCCCACCCGCAGACACTTCGAGAACCATTTTTATTCTTTTGTTTTCATTTCTTTGCTTTTTGCTCTTCAACTCTCCACAAAGCTGCGGCTGTCTTTGTAAGCAGCGAATTCGTAGAATGGACATTTGTGTTCAATTTATAACTCTATTTGCTTTAGTTCTTTTTTGTATTTATTTATTTAATTTGTTTATTTAAATGTATATTTGCTTCAGATCTATTTTGTATTTATATTTATATGCGCTAATAGACTCACTATGTATCCAAATATATATATATATGCATAAATGGAATTTTAATATACATATAAATAAATAGATTGCACAATTGAACTTCAGCTGCAGATATGTAGATAAATGTAAATAAATACTATAAAGGAGCCTTCAGTGTAACATAAATAAATAGCTCGTATAATTGAACTTCGGACTCAGATACAGATAAATTTAAATAAATATAAATGAGCCTTTGGTGTAACAAATAAATAATTTGTATAATTGAACTTCGGATGCAGATATATAAATAAATACAAATAAATATAAATGAGCCTTTAGTGCATACGGGCTCGCCCACATGAGGCCGTGCGTGTATGTTCGCTGTACATACACCGCAAATACCTGCATGCATATATTCATATAATTCAGAAAAGTGTAAAGATGTGTTGTAATATATATATAATATTGTAAATATATAATTGCTTCCTCTTTAAGAATATATAAATGCCAGAGTCTGAGCATAAACACAACTTGGGTGCAGACCCTCCTGGGTTGCCTGCGGTGTACGTACACCCCAGCTTTGCCCTCGCCCTTTGATTAGGGTTTAGGGTTTGGGTGAATCCCGGTGTCTAGACACTGGAGCCAGTACTGGCTTTCATCTCCTGTGAAAACCCTGGTGCTGCTTCGGGGGGTTTGGGGTTTAGCTAGGGTTAAGGGTTTAGCTAGGGTTTGGGGTTTAGGGTTGTCTGGGCTAAGCCACAAACCCTAATTTGTGTTGTCCAGGCACTTGGCTCTAGAACATTTGGAGCACCTAGGGTTTAGGGTTTGGACAAAAGAGGGGTTCAGTTCGAACCTTCGGACGAGGGTTTAGGGTTTGAGAGGGTCTGAGCGGAGCTAGGGTTTAGGGTTTGGGAGGAGCTAGGGTTTAGGGTCTGGACAAATGGAAAAGCCTCAGGACTGTGCTGAGGTGTCTGTACAGCTGACTGGCCCCTTGTTCCCGGGTGTACGTACAGCTGGCGGGTTGGGGCCTAAGCACAAATGAAAGTTAGGGTTTAGTTGACAACTATTTCTTCTTTTTTGATGAGTCCTTCCACTCCCTTTTCAATCAAATCAAAAACGTTCAAATGCCCCCCCTCGTAGTACCTGCGGCGCAGCGCAAACCCTAAACCCCAAACCCTAAACCCCGCCAAACGCTAGAAACAACCCCCCAACGGGCCACGCCCAACGCAAACCCTAAACCCTAAACCCTAAACCCTAAACCCCGCCCAGGCGGGGCCCCAGAGAGCGCAGGTCCGCGCAGTGTACACACACCTCACTGGGCCGCAGCGCCGCCGCTGCGTGCGGGGCAGCAGCGCCTAGGGTTTAGAGCCTAGGGTTTACGGCCTAGGGTTTAGGGTTTAGGGTTTAGGGTTTAGAAGGCGCACGGGTCCGGGACTTCTTCGGTGCCGCACTCCGGCGCGTAGTCGCGAATCAGCAGCTTCAGTTTGTGTCTTTTGTCTGGGGGGCAAAGAGCTGCGAGGTTGCGGAGGTTGGACTTGTCCATGGCCACAACCAAGTCAAACTCCTCGAAGTCTGCGCAAAACCCTAAACCCTAAACCCTAAACCCTAAACCCTAAACCCCACCAGCCCCCGCAGGCGCTCCCGGGGAGAAAGGGCGCGAGAAGACCAGTCACAGAACGCCGAACGCGATTCCAGCTGCACTGCGCTGCAGCCAGCGCGCTCCGCCTCAAACCCTAAACCCTAAACCCTAAACCCTAAACCCTCGCAGGAGGTCTCGAAGAGCGGCTGCGAGCCGCAGCGCCCCCTCTTTTGCCCGCGCCTTCGCCCCCCCGCCCTAAACCCTAATTCCCCTCTAAACCCTAACCCCTGATCCCAAACCCTTACCCATCCCAAACCCTAAACCCTCCCCCCAAGTAGACCCTGCTCGCTGCACCCTTCCCTAAGCCCTCAGCGGGCGCCAGCCAGCGCCACCCCAAACGCCAAACCCTAAACCCTAAACCCTAAACCCTAAACCCTAAACCCTGAAGCCCAGCTCGCCTGTTTTGCGGACTTGGCGGGCCCTGTGGGGGCTCAAGTCGACCCCCCTCTTGCGCGCCGCGCGGATCATCTCGCCCATGGCGGGGTCCCCCTCTGTGTGCCCCCCAGTTGCTGCTGAAGCCACTTTAAAGGGTTTAGGGTTTAGGGTTTGGAGTTGGAGTTTGCTGCGGAGGATGTACTCCGCGGTGGGGGAGCGGTTCACGTTGCCGAGGCACACGAACAGCACCGATCGCACCATTTCAGCTTCCGAAAACAGCGCCAAAATATTAATTTTCTATTTTAATTCTTTTTCGCATTTTAAACAACAAAAAAGGGTTTAAATTTCGCGAGATTCCGCAAAATTCCCTCAAGCCACCCGGGGGCCCCAGCCACACCCCCGGGGGCCCCCGCCACGAAGACCCGAGCACGCCCGCCTCCGGGCCCCCCGCCAACCGAAAACCCTAAACCCTAAACCCCAAACCCTAAACCCTAAACCGTGGTTTTCGCGTTTCGTTCCCGTGTGTCCGTTCGGAGGTCTTCCCCGCAGTGGGTGCGGTGCAGGGCGTGATCGGGGCGTTTGGGGAGCCGGCAGGGCGCGGCGGCGTCGCGCAAACCCTAAACCCTAAACCCTAAACCCTAAACCCTAAACCCTAGAAGAGCGCGTTTGGCGAGAATGAGCGAGGAGGCGAAGCTGGAGGCCCTGCTGCTGTGCCTGGACGCCGCCTTCCGCGCAGGGGGGGCCCCCAGTACCCTCGAACTCGCGGGGGCCCACCCCGAGTGGGGCCCCCACGACAAAGTCGTGGGCCTTTGCAGGGCCCTCCAGTCCTTAGGATATGTGGCTTTGACTTTGCAAGAAAAGACTCTGTGGGCCCTCACGGCAGAGGGCCAGCAGTACGCAGCCCGCGGCATGCCCGAGGCCAATTTGCTGCGCTGGATGCACCAAAACCCCCGCGTCAGCCAAACCCTAAACCCTAAACCCTAAACCCTAAACCCTAAACCCTAAACACTGCAGCGAGCGCGCCGGGGGACCGCGCGCCGCACCCAGCAGCCAACCCCCAGCAGCAGCAGCAGCAGCAGCAGCAGCAGCAGCAGCAGCAGCAGCGGCGAAAAACCCGCGACGGCAGTGCTGTAGGCAGCAGCGGCCGCAGCTGCGCAACTAGCAGCAGCAGCAGCAGCAGCAGCAGCAGCAGCGACTGCTGCTTCTGTAGGGCTCCCGCAGCAGCAGCAGCGTTTCCAGTGCCCCTCACAGCAGCAACGGCCGCAGCAGCAGCAGCAGCAGCCGCTGCAGCAGCGCCCCGCGGCCCTGCGCCGCCCCCCTTTCGCCCAGCAGCAGCAGCAGCAGCAGCAGCAGCAGCAGCAGCAGGTGTTGCGGGCGTGTCTTGTGCAGGAGGAGGGCTACTCTGCTGCGGAGTTGAAGCAAACTTTGGGAACTGAAGGAGAATTGGGACTTTCAAATGCTTTAAAGTTGGGACTTTGTGTTGCAGATAAAGAAAGCAAAAGAATTTACTGCAAAGGGGGGCCCCCCGGGGGCCCCGGGGGGCCCCCCGACACTGCCCAGGGGGCCCTCAAGGCCATACAGCAGTGGCAGCAAACCCACGGGGGGGCCCCCACAGACACGCAGCAGCTGCTGCTGCTCGCGCTGCGCGAAGTTGATCCTTCGAAGCAGCCTGAGAAGCTCCTGCAGGCATGCATAACCTGCTGCTGCTGCTGCTGCTGCTGCTGCTGCTGCTGCTGCTGCTGCTGCTGTTGCTGTTGTTTTTTGTGGGGCTCGTTTGCTGCTCTTCCTCCTCGTGCTGCACTTCAGGGTGCTGCTGCTGCTGCTGCTGCTGCTGATTTTTGTGGTGCACCTGCTGCCTCTCTAACTGGCGCTGCTCTTCAGGGAGCTGCTGCTGCTGCTGCTGCTGCTGCTTCCATGCTGCTGCTGCTGCTGCTTTCATGCTGCTGCTGCTTCTGCTGCTTTCGTGCTTTTCCTGCTGCTGCTGTTGGTGCTTTTCTGGGTCTTCTTGCTGCTCCTGTTGCTGCTGCTGCGGGGGATGCTGGTGCTGCTGCTTCTAAGCTATTGTGCTGCTGCTGCTGCTGCTGCTGCTGCTGCTGCTGCTGCAGGTATCTGTTGCTGCTCCGCTTGCAGCAGCTACTTGTGAATGAATTAATTGAAAATGAATTAATTTTAATTTTTTATTTTGTTTTATTTCTTTTTCTTCAGGAACTGAAACGCCGCAAGCTCGTGGAGCAGCGCAAAGTGAAATTCAACTTAATCAAAAAAGCAGAAAAATTCAAATTAGAAATTTCAAAACCCTTGGCCGACATCAACGCCAAACTCATCGCCAACGACCAGTGGAGGCAGCAAGGCGGGTTTAGGGTTTAGGGTTTAGGGTTTAGGGTTTAGGGTTTAGGGTTTGGAGTTTAGGGTTTAGGGTTTGGAGTTTAGGGTTTAGGGTTTGGGGTTTGGGGTTTAGGGTGTAGCGTTCAGGTAGGTGGTGTGGGGCTTAGGGCTGAGGGGCAAGTGAAAGCAGCAAGGACTACGGCTGCAGCTGTGGACTAGGGTTTAGGGTTTAGGGTTTAGGGTTTAGGGTTTAGGGTTTTGGGCTTGAATTCAAATGGGTCTCGGGGTTTGGAACTTACAGCTAAGCTACTTAATGCGCTGCATTGGGGAGTTGAGATGCCCACAGGCTACGCAATTTCAGGGTTTAGGGTTTAGGGTTTAGGGTTTAGGGTTTAGGGTTTAGGGTTTAGGGTTTGCGCTTGTGCTGATTCTTTAGAGCTGAAGCCCTACAACTTCTTTGCATGCGGCACGCGGCTGCGACGGGGGGCCCCCCACCCGCTGATGCTTGTCCAGAAGCAGTTCAAGCATGTTCTCACTTCCATGGGGTTCGAGGTAGGGTTTAGGGTTTAGGGTTTAGGGTTTAGGGTTTAGGGTTTAGCGTAAGTTGCCTCGTTGGCGCACTGCGCCTTTTTGGGGCCTCGAAACGAGCCCTAGTTGACTTGGCGTAACTTTATATTTCCTATGCATTCGAACTAGCACAAGGGCTTTAGTTTTTAGGGTTTAGGGTTTAGTTTTTATGGTTTAGGGTTTAGGGTTTAGGGTTTGTCAACTGCAAGTTCTGTTTCACAAACCCTTCTGGGTCCTGCCTTTTCCGTTTTGCTGCACACCAGGCTTTTTGCATGCAGGCTTTTATTCCTTTATTTCCTTTATTTGATTTAATTCATTTTAATCTTTTATTTCTTTTATTTGATTATCTTATCTGATGTTTAATTTCCTTATTTGGTTTATTTCCTTTGCTCCTTTATTTCTTCTATTTGATTTAACTCCTTCAATTTTATTTCTTTGAATTCCCTCCAAGTCTTGCAGTTTATTTAATTGTTTAAATTGCTTCAAGTCTTTTATTTTTTTAATTTTCTTTTTTTTCCTTTCATTTATTTTATTTTCCGAATTTCTTCAAACCCTTCAGTTCCTTTTGTTTCCTCTTCTGTCCAAACACTTTTTTGGATTTGTTTGCGATAAATAATCCTCGAACTTCTCCACTTTTTGCATTTTTAATCTTTCTTTAAATTATTTTTTTTCTGTTTTAATTTGTTTTTAGGAAATGGACACAAATCAATTTGTTGAAGGTTCATTTTGGTGCTTCGACGCGCTCTATATGCCTCAGCAGCACCCCGCAAGGGATGCCCAGGATACCTTTTTCATCAAGGCAAGGCGGCCCGCATACCCCTTTTTAGGGTTTAGGGTTTAGGGTTTAGGGTTTGGGGTTTGGGGTTGCTGGCGGGCGTCTGGGCTGCAGGGCTGCGGCGCCGGTGGCTGCGGCTGCGGCGCAAGGTGCAAGGGCAGCTGCCGTGGGGAAAAGGGCCTAGGGTTTAGGGTTTAGGGTTTAGGGTTTAGGGTTTAAGATCTAGGGTTTAGGGTTTGTGGCTCCAGGGTGGCAGCAGCACGCTGCAAAGCGCGTGCAGAGGCTGCCGGCCAGAAAGGGGTCCCCCGCGGCTGGCTCTTGCCTCGGGGGGCCCCGATCTTGTTCATTTTACTCGATTAATATATTATTTTATTTATTATTAATCATTTATTTATTATTTATTATTTATTAATTTGTTTTAATTCCTCGCAGAGCCCCGAATGCAGCCACCCTGACCAACTGCCCAAGTCCTTCGTTTCCGCCGTTCAGCAAATGCACGAAAGCGGCGGCGGCGGCTCCACGGGCTGGAGATACACCTGGTGAGTGCCGCGGGGCTGCATGCATGCATGCATGCATGCATGCATTTGGCCATGCATGCATGCATGCATGCATGCATGCATTTGGCCATGCATGCATGCAGGCTTGCATGCATGTAAGCGCGCGTGCATGCATGCGGGGCGACTGAGAAATGCGTGTGTGCAAAGTAGTTAAGGCATGCATGCATGCGTGCATGCATGCATGCATGCATGCATGCGGTGTACCAGAAGGCCTGCTTGCATGCATGCATGTAAAGCAGTTAGAGCCTGCATGCATGCATGCATGCATGCCGTTTGTTGTATGGAGGGGCGCGCGCATTTATGCGGGATTTGTGGGGGCGTCCTAAGCTTCAAACCCTAATTCCTGAAGCAGGGTTTGGCTCTAAACCCTTTTTTGGGGTTTCGGGTTTGCGGCTGCGCCCACAGGTCGCTGGACGAGTCGCTCAAAAATGTTATGCGAACACACACGACTTCAGTCTCAGCCCGCATGCTGTACCAAATGGCGGAGGAGTATAGAAAAGTAAGCTGCTGCTGTTGCTGCTGCTGCTGCTGCTGCTGCTGCTCTTGTGTCTGCTGCTGCGGCGGTTTCCCCTGCAGCAGCGGTGGCAGCAGCAAACGGGCAGGTCGAGGCCCCCAGTGGTGTTCTGTGCCGTTTACGGGGGTGTTCGGAGTTAGCGCTCGAAATAGTGTTTAGGGTTTGAGTTTAGGGTTTAGGGTTGAGGGTTGAGGGTTTAGGGTTTAGGGTTTTCCTTCAGACGGGGGTCTTCAGGCCCCGTAAGCTCTTCTCGATCGACCGAGTCTTCCGGAACGAAACCCTCGACGCGACGCACCTGGCGGAATTTCACCAGGCAAGCGCTGCCGCTGCTGCAGCTTAGGGTTTAGGGTTTAGGGTTTAGGGTTTAGGGTTTAGAGTTTAGGGTTTAGGGTTTGGAGCGCATGCGCAGGTGGAAGGAGTCGTGGCCGGCGAAAACCTCTCGCTGGGGCACCTCATGGGTGTGATCCTCACATTCTATATTGCCATTGGCATTGAAGAGCTGAAGTGCGCTGGGCTATAAGGCCTGAGGGTTTTAGGGTTTAGGGTTTAGGGTTTAGGGTTTGGGGTTTGGGGCTTAGGGTTTGAGGCCGAAGACTTTGAGACGGGGGTTACATTTTTAAGGTTTCGCACGTAGACTCCAGGGTTTAGACACGCGGGTATGAGGGGCTAGCGCCCCAGGTTAAGGGTTTAGGTCTAGGGTTTAGGATTTAGGGTTTAGGGTTTAGGGTTTGCATTTGGGTTCAGGTTCAAGCCGACGTTCAACCCTTACACCGAGCCATCGATGGAAATCTTCGGATACCACCCGGGGCTTAAGCGGTAGGCGATGGGCGTCACTGAGGGTTTAGGGTTTAGGGTTTAGGGGATTAGGGTTTAGGGTTTGTGTATAAGTTGATAGAAGTGGGGAACATCGCAATGTTCCGGCAGGAGATGCTGCGGCCCATGTATCTGCCTAGTGCTGAGGGAGTGTTCAGGGTTTAGGGTTTAGGGTTTAGGGTCTAGGGTTTAGGGTTTAGGGTTTAGGGTTTGTGCGTAGGTGGATAGAAGTGGGGAACAGCGGAATGTTCCGCCCCGAGATGTTGGGGCCCATGTGTCTGCCTAGTGCAGAGGGAGTGTTCAGGGTCTAGGGTTTAGGGTTTAGGGTTTAGGGTTTAGGGTTTAGGGTTTAGGGTTTGTGCGTAGGTGGATAGAAGTGGGGAACAGCG